AATCATATATATTTACACTTTAGGAAGAACAATTGAAGAAAATAAATGTGGTAGAAAAAATGAGACTTATACCGTATGTATCACTTTAGTTGTCACGTTTGTTTTTTCACGTAGTTTGATAATTACTGTATATTTTATAAAAACTGTAGCAATGTTGTTGCTGCCTTTTTTGTAAGTTTCTTTTCAAAAGAAAATGAGACAATTTATTTGATATGCCCCGAAAAGAAATGTGGGACGACTAAGATGATACGGAAGGGGCATATTTTAGTGACTATATAATATTTACAAAAGGCAGTAATACTTAAAAATGTGTGTTCTATTTTAACTTTTAAGGAGTATCAATTTTCTGTATCATCGTATCAATTTTCTCTATCATCATAGCATATAGCTAGATCCTATTTGGGTGAGTCTTAGGAAAATACTATAGCTACCCCCAAAATGGGGTATCCCATTCTTATCCCGGCCTAATGTGTGATCATAAATGGGGCAACACATTTAAGTGAGACACCCACTTAAATGGAGCAACACATTTAACTGAGGCATCCATAAATGGGGGGCAACACTTTTAGGCCCATTTATGTGTTGCCGCATTTATGATCACACATTAGGCGAGGTAAGAATGGGGTACCCCATTCTTATTAGTATCTGTAATTCCGAAACACGTACTAACGTGATATTTAACTTCATAGACTAGATTATGATTAATATCAAAATAAATAAGTTCAAGTTTTCGTAGTATTCTCTTACCTACTTAGTTCTTTTACCTACAAAAAAAAAACTCTGTACATTTTAACTCATCAGTTCCAGATCAAATCAGATCAAATTAGACCAGCCAAAACTTTCATAGTTATAAAATATACATAGATCAGACATTTATCAGACATGACCAATTCAAATCAGATTTGATCAGATCGAATCAGATTTGATCTGATCAAACCAGTAAATTTAAGTCCAAAAGAAAACATAAAACAGTAAAATGATAGACGTGCTTCACCGACTTCATTCGTCACACAATCCTCGAGGTCCTGTTTCAAAGCACCGTCGAAGGAGTTGTAGCAAATATGTAGACTCCCTATTTTCTAATCACATCAATTATTTGAATGTGACGTGCATGTGTTCTTGCATGTAACAAAACACACCTCACTAGTTGACACGGTCCAGCTATTTCGTGTGGATTATTACAAAAAAATATATAGGTCTACTCATTTTCTAGAAAGGTGAAGCAAAATAAAACGTTATATTGTTTGCTTAATCACATCTAGTGTCCATTTAGTAACATTCAAATCGGTTGAATTCACTGACTTGTTGAAATTTATGAAATCCTATCTGAAGTGACTATATTAAGTAATCACCTGATTTATGAAACAATTATTATATTTAAAATATAATTTATTAATAAAAGAAAGAAAAAATTACATGAAAAATAGTTAAAATAATCATCTACAGTAATTTCGGCCAATACATTCAGCAACATAATTTCAACCTTACATTTTCTAATTATTACACAATTGATACTGCTTGTTTGGTGAAAAGTTGGTTGTGATTACAAATAAAAGGAACTCCAAATTTTCAATTATGGTTATATGTGTACGACTATTACTTTCGTAGCCACGTGCTCAACACATCATTGGCATTCTTCTTGGAATCATTAGACAAATTATTCCCTCCGTCTTGTCTTATGTACCCTCTGTCAAATTGAAGAACATTTCCTAAATAAGCTAACAGACCTCGTTATTTCATTTTTAATAGTCCATATTTGTGAAAATAGTTGCATGCATATGCATATATGTGAATATGTCAATATGTGAAGACCAAGGAAAACATAGAGTTTATACTATGTATTCACTTGGATAATGGATCTTACACCACATTTTCTAAATCATTTAAATTTGCACGTCACCACTTATCTCTAAAATGGTTTAGTTTAGAGTTTTTTGTTTGATAAAGGCATTCAAAGACAATAAATAAGGGGATAATATATACGAAAAGCTCAATATCGAAGTACCTGAAGCTGTAGTTGTAGCTGTAATTGTAAATTGGGTTATCCGTTTGGTAATACAGTTTTTTGACTTATCTAGCTTATCAGTTAAACTTTTCATCAAACACACAACTTTTGAGTTCGTGCGTTGGATTGAGTTTTGACTGTATGGGTTGCAGTTGCTGCAGATGACTATTTTAACTATTTTTCATGTTATTATTTTAAGTATAATTTTTTCATACGATCAAAAAATATACAAGTATAATTTTTTCATAAATCAACAGAATCGGTCACTTCAGCCAGAACTATTCATAAATTTCAGCATAATCAGTCGATCCAGCCGATTTCAGTGTTACCAAACGGGCTCTATATATCTTTTAATTTATTGTTCCTAAGATTTATACGGAGTACGAGTATTCTAAATTCTCAACTGAAGGTTCGAAATTGATAGTTTGGTGATCCATCTCATGATATATCGCCGCATTAACGGCAACAATTTAGACAATTGGTGAGATGCTCTTTATCTTCGGTGCTGTCATTTTGTACACTTCTGACTTCTGATCTGCATTGAATCCCTACTCCGGGATAGAATAAAAAACACTTAGAATATACGGTAATGATTTGGCTCGTACTAAACTAAAGATAAATGATCAAAATAAGATTAAAAGAAATTAAAGTGGCTAGGGACATTACTTTATGTGTTTAAAATTAAAGTGGGAGTTTAGGTTAAAAAAATCCTATTTAAATAGTTCATGCATGCAGCATGTATATATACTTTCAAAGCATAGAACGTGTCATTGTCACCCTCAATTCCCCCAAATAAGATCAGTATCATCACATTATAATATTGCGGGGTATCATAAAATCATATATGCCGCGTCAAGCCAAATTACATACATCAAATCAAATTTTCATCACAGAAAATAATATTGAGACAACAAAGTAGGAGTTGCTGAAAAATAGTTAAATAGTTAAATAAAAATGTCATAGAGACTAATAAAAAATGTCACAGATTTTACATGGATCTTATCTGTGATAAATCTTTTGTCACATAATTTATCCGTGACAAAGTATTCGTGAGACTCTGAGATGGCTGAGTGATCCGTGACAAATTCCATGACAAGTTCTTGTCACGTTGTTTTTTGTACTTACAAGCATACTGCCATAAGTAAACTACGACATTCTTAGTCCACATTAATTTAATTGGTTATTATTCTATTTATACATTTTACTATTAAATTTGCTATTTCAACTCCTTATTTTGCCATAATAATTCTCTATGGGTTATCATTGTGTTTGAGTTCATTAGGCCATTATGGGATGACCTAAAACTAGGTCACCATTGTTAAATAACTACAGTGGTTGTTACTTCCACGTTCGACGTTTTCATATGTTTATTGTCTCGTACTCTCGTTCTTACATTTTTTTAATATTTTTTTAGTGAGTACACAAACAGTACGTACTGTGACATTTTTTACTTAAAATGTGGTATTTTTTAAGTTGGACGATTTATACATAATCAAGTAATTTCATTTATGGTATTTATAATCTTGATTGACATCTTTTGCATTGAATAATACGACTTCTTTTGTTTTTTCATGTTGGCAAAATTTTTCTTTTCTATCCGTATAGTACGTTATTTAAATATTTGAAACACTTTTGTTTTTATGAAAAGTTTTACTTATTTATGAAGAATCTGTGTTCCTTTTTGTTGAAAATTAAATATGTGTTTTAAGATTGTTAACCCTTGGTATGTCTATCCTCTTAACATTGTTAGATTAAAGATGTTTCTATGGACTATGGCATCGTTTATAAATTTTCGGGAATTATAAATTGTAGCAATGCTTCTGGAAAACAATGACATATATATTACTAACAGAGTTTATCCGAATAAAAATATGAATTGTTATTTTTTCTGGATAAAAATAGAGAAAATTCCCTAAATAGGAGGAAAAAACATTTTCAAATTCCAAAATAGACTATCATGTTTTTTATTCCATGAATGGGAGTGAATTTTGGCCAAGTTTGGAATTACTAGGCTTTAAACATGGCATTTTTCCCCAAACTTGGCAGATTACTCATCATATTCAGAGAATAAAAAATATGATAGTCATATTTTGGAATTTCAAAACGTTTTTAATCCCATTTAGAGCAATTTCTGATTAAAAATATGAATAGTCAGTAGTCACGGTGTACGAGTAAATGAGTAATTGAACATGAGTCATAATTGTGTATTTCAGAGTATGATGTCACATGTAAATGATGAGTCACTAGGAACTAGTCATTGAATATGTCACTTTATTGGAAAATTTTAAAATAAATCGTATTTTTGTCTTTTGAATTTAATTTAGTACTCCCTAATATGACTAATATCCACACCTAGGAACATCTCAAATGCTAAGGCGTACGCGTTACATACGTGACGTGAGAGATGATCAATTAAAAAACAATAAATACAGTATCTCTCCTTATTTGGATGATCTTATATATTTTTGGTAAGTTTTTTTTCACAATGTCAAGCACAATGTCTAAATGTAAACTTTGTGGTTGACATTGTCAAGAAAAACATATCAAAAATATATAAGACCGTGAAAAGAAAGAGAGATAAATGTCATAAGTTTAATTTTTTGTGTTTATCGATCTCATGTCAGATGTGCAACGTGCACATTTTAGCATTGAAAATGCTCTAAGGCTAGAATTGGAAAATTTGGTATCTCAATTTCTTAAAGATCATTCTATGAAAAACTATGGAATGTTTCAGGATATATATTAAATACCAATTAAGAAAATATGAGGGTGATATGCAAAATGTATGCTAAAGAGAGCATTTAGTACAATATTTGTGTATCATTATATTATACGTAGTAATTTTTAAAGGAACTGTATTTGCCTTTGTACCAAAAAGATCGTATATGGGACTTTTATTTGTTATTACTATGTGTTTCGGCAATATTATTATAATTAATCATGATAAATTACGACAAAATAAGTGTATTTAAAAAGTCTTAAAGCATGTAATAAAACTCATATGGTCTCAAATGCACTTTTTAACTTTTAAAGTTAAATGCCATAACCAACACAGCCTTTTGTAATGAACCATTTACCATTATGCCAGAGACCTAGCACATGGTCTGATGGTCACATACTATATAAATACACATACGCAAAAATTCCACTTGATTTCAATCCCTCAGAGACATGGTAAACTTGTACAGTTGAGCAGATGAGCAAAAGATCAGATGATCGTCGTCGTTATGGATTATGTTGAAAAGAATTGGCTCAATGAGATATATAGAGAAATGATTAAACTAATCTATAGTCTATATTGAAATTACATTAATGCCCTCAAGTACTCAATGAGGCAGAACTAGAAAGTGAGATCTTTAGGGTCCTCAATTATCTTCGCAAAGGTTTGCAAGAAAGAAGCCAGATCAGAACCATATATTATTCGGTGGTCAGCAGTAACATTTACCTGGATGAATATGGTATTTCAGCAGTAACAATTTCATGAGAATTATAATACTTGTGGGAAAAGGTCAGATAGGCCCTCGAACTTACATAAAAAGATCAAATAAACCCTTATATAGGAGGCTCTGTCCGGCCGTGGCCATTTGGGGCGGTTTCCGGCGGAATTTTTTGATGAAATTTTTTGAGCATCTTATTCATTAAGTCTAGTTTACTCATACCAAATTTCAGTTAAAACTTCAATCGGGAAAACATTAGACATTCAAATGATTTCTTGAAGATAACTGCACAGTTAAAAGCGCAGTTATCTTCAAGAATTTATTTGAATGCCTTCTCGATTGAATTGTTAGCTGAAATTTGGTATGAGTAAACTAGACTTAATAATGAATAAGATGCTCAAAAAAATTCATACAAAAATTCCACCGGGAATTGCCCAAATGACGATGGACGGACAGAGCCTCCTATATAAGGGCTTATTTGACCTTTTTATAAGTTCGAGGGTCTATTTGACTCTTTTCCCTAATACTTGCTTGTAGTTGTAAATCAGTCTTGAGTAAAACTCGGATATGAATGTACCTGCATTTGGTTCTTTTTACCAATCCGGCCATCCTTAGTGGCAACGACAGTTGGTATAGAAGCTCCTACACCCATAATTGCACCCTACAAAAACGTATAGTGTAAGTATATTAAGAGGTACAAGAGCTGCGGGCCTGTTTGATAAGAGAGGGTTATTTGCATATATATATATGTGCTAATCTGCTGAATTTTTGGATAGAAAAAGTGTTTGATGACAACCATTTCTGCAAATTAGCAAGTCAAAGCAATTTAGAGCCCGATCGACAGGTTCCATTTTGTCACCTAATACTAATATACTACGTACTACGTATCTCACTATGTTGACTGGGTCAGTATGTGAAAAAAGTACTGCCCAGTTATATAGCACATATCTATATTTCAACAGATTCAGCCATCAACTTCAGCAGGAATGCAGGATAGTCACAAGCCAGTTTTAGCTTACTAAGAGTCCGTTTGGTAATACCCAAATGGGCTGCATTGGGCCATTGGCTGATTCTGCTGAAATTTATGAAGTTCTAGCTGGAGTGACAGATCCGCTAATTTATGAAAAAATTATATTTAAAATACTAGTATATGTTATTAACTAAATAAAGAAAAATTATATGAAAAATAGCTAAAATAATCTTCTACAGTAACTTCAGCCAATACAGTCATAAGGGCTCGTTTGGTATGATGTAAAGTAAACATTTTGCATGCGAAGTGTGGGGAGGTAAACATTTTACACCGTTTGTTTTAATTATTTGATGTAAACTGTAGGGCACTTTTTTAAAACATTTTACAAGATACTGTGTAAAATATTTTACATGGGGAGGGTGGTAAACTACTTTACATGGCTGAATACGGATTACAAATTATGTCACGCTCCAACTTCTACCAATTAGCATTGGCGGCTAAACAAAAAAGCCTGGCGGCAAAACAAAATAGCCTGGCGGCAATAATTTGCTCTCGTCTATAAAAAAGAAAATCGTGAAGAGCCTGGTGGGTGAGTTATATATTTGAAAAGGTAGGTTGGTGTGCTGCGATTTTTAAGCATGATTCAGCATATTTGTTCTACTAGGGTTAATAGATTTTGATGGAATGGCTCATATCAAACTTGGGGCTGAAATCAGGTTTATCAATTATGCTGATAATTGAAGACTGCATCGGCCTGCACCACATCAAACCGACGGTGTAATTTAAAAGGGATTACACAGATAACCAAATCATGTAATTCTATATTACATGCAAACTATTTTACAGCCCTAAACGTTACCTTTACCTGCAATTATTTTGCATGGAAAGTTTTAATGTGTAAACTACCAAACGGGCTCTAAAAGTAACTTCAACCTTGCTTTTTCTTATTATTACGTATCCAACGCGTGAAATAAAAAATTATGTGTTTAGTGAAAAAGTTGGTTGATAAATCTGATAAGCCGAAAAACAATGTCACCAAAAGGGCTCTAAATGGGATCGTGTTCTATTTGATCTGCTTATTCTACAGATCATACCAAACAGAGCCTATACTATAGTTTTCAATTTTCATTTACTAATTTGACTTTTCACCTCTAACTTGGATCAAAACCTATGTTAAACAGCTATAGGTTTTTCTATATTATCTAGTATTTTGACCCGTTCTCTTTAACTTCTTTTGCAAAAAAACTTACAGTTCCAGGTGGTAAGATGGCGTCAAAGTGATCTGTTCCAAACATCCCAAGATTTGATAGTGTAAATGTGCCTGCAACAGTAAGAATGCCAGTAGAAGAATCATTTGCTAAGTAGTATAAGCATATTATAGCACTAATGCAATTCCTGTTCATTTTAGGCAAACAAATATAGAGGCAAACTACTATAGTTACAAAGTTAACCAAACAAAGCAATATTACTCCCACCAATTTCATTCTGACCAACCAAAAATAATTTGTTTACCCTTTTTATTCCTCACATATTCTTCTTCCGAATAAAATGCCAATAAGGCCTCACAATTGTTTACCTCATTTTGTAAATTATCCGTTTCAATTACATATTTATTTATATCTTAATTGAACCAATTGTAACATTACATAGTAAGGGTGTAACAACAATTTCATCGGGTTTGTTTACTCAAAAGAATGTACCTGTGGTATATTCATGAGGCTGAAGCTGCTTTGTCCGGGCTTTATCAACTAGCTCCTTCCACTTTCTTGACAACGAATATATGTCAACCTGAGAAGGAGTACTTGAAAACCATTATTACTATGAATTTTTTATCAACTTCTTTCTGCAGATTTTACCATCAAAGGGTCCATTTAGAGCCTGGAATGTAAAGGACAAATAGGAATATTTGATTCTAATATTACAACCTTTTCTTGATCTGCTTATAAAAGTCATACATTTTACTTTCTTGAGAATAGTCCTACCTTTTTTAACTCATCCGTATAACAGGCCGTTATTAGAAGAAACTTATTTAGGCAAATGATAAATCTTACGAGGAAATTTTAATATGTGCTGATAGATGTTAGAAGGAAGCAAACATAGGTTGCATTATTCTCAAAAAAGTAAAAGGTGGGCTGATATAAGCAGTTCAACAAAAGGGAAGAAAGTAAAAGGTGGGACTGATATAAGCAGATTCAGAAAATGTTGGATTGTTAGAGTCAAACCTTTAAAAAATGGGGAACTTTGGAAGAAAAAAGAAGAGGGAAAACCGGAAAATACAAATTTCAGTTCAATTTAAGATATTTGTTATCGATTAGATCTTGCTTTATATATAATTTTCTATTTCATAAAAGCTAAATATATGTCAAATTTATTAAGAAAAAAGTCCAAATTTGATTTTCTTTGTACTCTCCAAGGAAAAACAATACATTAGAAAAGCTTTTTCTTATACTTCCTTTCCTTCGCATAACTCCTTACGGCACCCATACGTAGTCTCAGAGATTTTAAAATATATATGAACTGACCTTGTCAGCATCCTGAAGCACAGGAGTAATTAATCCACCATCAATAGCCACTGCAACTGCAATATTAATGCTACTGTTGTATGTAAAGCTTTTCCCGTCTCTACAACTTGCATTCACAACGGGGTGTTGAACCAAAGCAAGTGCTGTTGCTTTTGCTAATAATGCAGTCATTGTTACTCCCTTTGACTTGATCTAAAAAATGCACAAATGCATCATTTAGGGCCCATTTGGTAAGTGGTATTGAGCTGAATTAGCTGATTACGCTGAATTTCTCTTCAACGCAGGGGTTGGGTAACATGCCTTTCACCCAAATACGTACATTAAAAGCAACTTATTCTATTTCCCACAGATAAATCTGAAGTATATTTCCAAACAAAGCCTTAAACGTAGAGAAACAATATACGACAAATATATGGGTTGTTACATGAGTCGCATTTTTTAAGGTGGACTGGTTATAAATAAATAAAGGAATGGAGAACTTAATGCCATTCACTTATTATTGATTTTTCTTATAAAAAAATTTAGCGAAAAGTTAAGAGTTGGAGTACTAAGAAGGGTGATAAGCCTAAACACATATGGTGCATCAAACTGTGTCTGCCAAATGTACACTAAGAAAAGTTTGCTAGCTCGATAATCACATATGGAAATGCTCACTCTTATTACATATCCTCACGATTAATTGAAGTTCATAAACTCAATATCAGATACTTCAATTAATTTTTTGGAACTTGTTTAGCTACCAATCTGCCAGCTCAGTCTATTTACTAGTACTGATCTCACAAAGTTTACTAGTTTTCCGTTCGAAGAAATATTTAGCAATGTAGACATAAGCACTGTTGTAAGAGTCCTAGGCCTCCACTTTGTTTGAAAATGGGGCCTAGCAAGTAGCTCCTAGTGGGGATTAGTCGGGGGAAAGTCTCAATCAAAGGCTCCTTTGGCAAGGGTTATTTGGCAAAGTTTAGGCTGTAAGGTGAAGTATTTTTTGTGGAAGTAGGTGATAACATCAATTTCAATCACAATAGCATACAAGTCAGGAGCTACTTATTCTGTCAATAAGCAAAATAACCAGAATAGCATGTAGTATAAGGCCTCCCAACGTCCTAAGCGAAGGTTGAGACAACAGCAGGGAAACTTTGAACCTCTTTGGTAAGCTGATTTGTCTGTAAGGTCCAAATGTACTGACCATTTTGGAAGGAAAAGATTATTCTTATGTCCATTTCAGCCAAACAGGTAGGACCGTAGGACCTGTTTGGTTGGGGTTATTAGGCCAAAATGGTTAAATATGACGAACTTTGTCAAACCAAAACCGTTTGATTACCTCCATTTCAGGCAAATAGAAAGTCAATAAACTAATCGGTGCTATGGGGCTACCAAACGCTAGCAAATGCGGATTAACTGCAGCTAGACTAGGATTTTTAGAAAACTGCTCATGCCTAAATTATAATAATAACAAGATAATGGCATAATGTTACCTTCTTATAAAGAGCATCAAGTGCATCTGTAGTAATGGTGTAGCCAACTCTAAAAGTGGGCACACTCAAACTCTCCACCATATTCCTACTCACTGCATTCTGCATTGTGGTGAATGGAACTGTCTTCCCTAACTCCACTTCTGGCCTGCTCTGTTTCTCGGCAGCCGCACCACCGCTACCTCCTCCACCGATGGCGGCAGAGGCAGCAATTGCCTCAACATCCTTCGCAACAATCCTTCCACTAGGGCCACTACCAGAAACACCCCTCAGGTCAACTCCAAGCTCCTTCGCCAGCTTCTTTGCGTAAGGAGACGCGACCACCCTCTTCCCTCCGTCCGACGCTGGGTGCACGGCGGACCCCAGTGTCGCCGGAGCATCAGAAAAACCTCCTGATCGGGTCGGGCCGGACGCATTAGAGGCTGGAGCAGAGAAAGGAGCAGAATTTGAAGCAGGGACTTCTTTTATTGCCGGGCCGGGTGTGGCATTGTTGTCTCCGTCAACGGCCGCGGTAGGAGAAGGGGTTTGAGATTGGGCAATTGCAATTTCGTCTTCGGATTCGGCCAATAGAGCGATCGGAGAACCTACCGGAGCAGAGTTACCTTCGGGCACTATAATTGAAGCGAGATATCCGTCGTAGAAACACTCGACGTCCATATCCGCTTTATCGGACTCGACGACGACGACCGACTCCCCCTTGGAGAGCTTCTCGCCTTCTGATTTGATCCAGCTCACTATCTTGCCTTCAGTCATGGTGGAGCTGAGCGCCGGCATGAATATCTCCCGGATCTTCGCTTCGACCACGCGGATACGGGTACGGGTTACAGGAGAGACGCCGGAGGGGCGGCGCAGGGAGGCGGGTGCGGTGGGGATGAAGGTGGTCTGCAGCAGGCGAGACATTTTCGTGATACGGAAAAAAAAAATGCAGAGTATCAAAGACAAGAATTTGAGGTCGGATTCTGGAAACAAGGGCGATATGCTTAAGAGGGAATGCGGGTGGTTGGATTCCTCGAGTGCATCGAAGGAGTGAGTTGGGCGGAGGTCTCAACGACGTTAACTGTAAAAAGTTTGATGAAGTTAAGGTTGCACAGTAGTTGGTCTCCTGTTTTTACAAACTTCGATTTCCTTCGAGTTTTACAAACCTTTGTTGTAAAAACAGCACGGGAGACTGGAGAGTGACCCGGCCACATAACTGGGTCACGGGTCAACCCGGATCCGGTGGGTCAACCCGGTCAATGCCGGAAAACCGGTCAATGATTATATGTCTATATAATAATAGTAAACATATAATTATATATAAAATTATAATAAAAATTAGTCATTATTCATAATAATCAACTAACAATACTACTTATTAAGCATTTAATACACTCTTATAATATTTCAATGCATATTTTGATCTTATAAAAATATACTTAGTATAATGATATTTTTATTTTTATTGTATATCTATATTATAATTTGGCATGATGTTCATTATTAAATAAATATATAAATATATTACGTAGTTTTTCTTTTTAAGGTATTGAAATTGCAATTTTATTGGTATAAAAATGCATTAAAAATAAAAAAGAAATTACTTTTTTTTTGTAAAAACACCTAAAAACTGGGTTTTACCGGGTTTTTCGGGTTTCTTGGGTCCGGGTCTTGACCGGGTTTTCCCGGGTCAGCCGAGTTTTCTGGTTTTTGACCATATCCGGGTTTTGAAAAAACCGAACCGTTTTTTTTGTCCGGGTCACCGGGTCACCGGGTTCCGGGTCAACCCGGCCGGGTCGGGTCGGTTTTTTAAACATAGTTACAAACTTGAATTTCTTTCTCCAAAAAAGTTTAATCCCAAGAGAAATGTAAATTAAAACAACTCAACCAATCGGAGTGATGGTAGACTACTTATGCACACCAGAGTCTCAATTCAGCACATACGAGTTATCGCAACGAGTTTCGATCCTTCGTGATTCTCCAACTTTCCCACTATTTTACCAGTTGAGCTATCCATGCGAGTTAAAAACTTCAATTTCATGGAAGAAGTCTAGGATGCACAATCCTATAGCTTATGCTCCCTCCCAAACAATTTTTCACTTTCCCTTTTTTGAATGTCTCAAATATAACTTCTCATTTCCTTAAATGGTATGTTCATGTGGTTGAAACTTGAAAGGTTACCTTGGGAGAGTGGAGCGGAATGATAGATTTCACGGTCGTTGATATGGACGACTATCCTATAGTGTTGGGCATGGAGTTTATGGATTCGGTGAAGGCAATACCGATTCCATTTGCCAACACCATGTGCATACTTGGAGAGGGCGAGAATTGCACGGTGAAACTGTCTCGAGAGGAGAGGAGCCAGTCCAAGCAAATCTCGTCCATGCAAGTTGTTGAGGGCACGGGAAGGCGGCAACATAACCTAGCCACCTTGAAGGAGGAACCAATGCCGATGAGTGATACGGCTAAGAGGGTGGCTAAGGCACATGTGAGGGCAAAGGACGTGGTGATGTCCGGGTTGCCAAGGAGACTTCCGCCCAAGATAGAAAAGATGGAGAGGAACAACATGGCGGGTGCGCAAAGTAAGGAAGCCAAGCTAGCCGCCAATAAGAGGTCGAGTTTCCCTTTGGTGGAACAAGTCAAGGAAGGACTTGAGCTAGACCCTAAGGCCAAGGGGTTGAAGAACTTGGCAAGTCAAGGTAAGACACGCCAATTCCGGCCAAGGGAGGGGTTGCTAGCAACAAGGGAAGACCGAGTCTACGAACCAAAACAGCAAGGCCTAGAGAAGAAGACCACCGAGTTGCGCCACGGTCCGGGATGGGTTGGGCACCATCAACCCGCGAGGGTGCGGGAATCATTACCTACACCGGAGGAGCAAAGGAAGAGAATCCCTATGGACTTTGTCGCGGGTCTGCCTAAGTCCAAGAAGTGTGGGGACATTCTGCCCGTGGGTTATAGAGGACCAAGGCCATCCAAGTTCGCCAAGAGACGGCATGGAAAAGCCGACGGGGCCAGGGCACGCTTAGCAAAGGCCACGGAGAAAGAGGAGAAGGGGGCCCATGCTAAGCGGAGGAAATTGAGGCTTGGGGAAGAGAGCCACAGTCGAGTCGTCCCGAAAAGAGGCTTACAAGAAGACCACGACGAGGACGTCGTGAGATTGAGTGGGGGAGAATGTGACGACTCTCCCAAATATCGAAGAATGCCGCGGCATAGCAGGCACTTTGGGCCGCGGCATGGAAGGCAAGTACGCTGCGGATTGGTGAAGTGATACGCCACGGCATGGCAGGGTTATGCCGCAACATAATGGGGGTAAAGGACAAGCTGGAGTCTAGACATGCCTAAGAGGAAGGGGCAGATTTCCGGAGGCTTATAGAATATTCTAGACTCATGTAGATAGGAGTATACTTGTATAGAGTATAGTGGAATACTCTAGAATATTGTAGAGTAGTATAGAGATGAATTGTAGCCGTTAGATCAAGTAGATCTAAGCCGTCCATTGAGGAGGAGGACAAGTCTAAATACCCCTCAAGGTTGGCTCATTTGTAATCATCCAACCATCGAGTAATCAAGCATTTGAGAGCAATAAAGCATTGTACACGTTTCTCCACAATCGGTGTCCTTAGAAGTTAGGCTGACTAGCATAGTTTGAGTGAGTGTGCTAGTGCCGCACGGGTCTTGAGAATAAGTCCGTGACAGTATGTGGTTGAAACTTGAAAGGTCATAAATACTTATCATGTTAACTTATCATCAGCATAAATATTTATCCATTTGTATAAGTCTCTCTCTCTCCCTTCTTTCATAGTCTATCTCTTTCTCTTCTTCTACCTTTATTTGGGTATAGGGAAAACAGTCAAATCGGGACATGCATGTACTATATTGAATTCGTCACATAAAATCATTTACTCACGTTAGTGTCAAAAAATGCATTTACTTTTAAAAATGAAGCACATGGGTACAAATGACCTGCTAATAATCTCTTAATCCCGATTACTGTTTATGTGGCCCCGTTTTTGCCACATTTGGTCCTATTTCCACGTCAGTCTATCATCTTCAACCTATCGCAAAGTTCTAAAAATTAGGGTTCATCATTTCATTTAGCTCAAACTACTTCTTCGCAACATGCATGCGAAAGAGGTCCTTTAACCTTGTTCACCCCAAGTTCAAAGGTTCCTCCTAATCTGTATTACGAACCAGCTGCTTTTTGTAATTGCGGATTAAATGCTCCTTTGTGTGTCGCAAGGGAAACTGGTCGAAAATTTTATGGGTGTCAACGATGAAAGGTAAGTGAATCTCAACTACTTATATCGGTTTCTTAATCGCTCTCAAGGACAAATAAATTGTTGAAATTCAAATTATTACTATGGGAAGTACTCGATGTTCTGAAAAGAATGCATTTTGGGGATAAATTACTAATAATATGCTTTGTTGTTTTGATTTTATAAATTGATGTTGGGCGGACTAGGATGCAGAATTTTTCCTTGACACAAGAAAGTGAAATAAAAGGAAAAGCTTCAGGAATGATCTCAAAGGAGGTTACAAATATGGTTTTTGAATTCAGAGATGAAATCATATGTGTTTGTCGTGAATCTAGTGAAGAAATTAAAGGAAGAATGATTGTTAACTACTATTGTAATAGTGTTTGTTGTGGTACCCGTTTGCTATGATGATTTGTGTCGTAGAAACAAAGCACTAGATTACAGTGTGTTGTAATTGTAGGATGCTTAGCGCAGTGTATTAGACAAATTATGTTAATTTCGGACTTTATGTTAATTTCTGATGTTTAAATTTGAATATCTTTTTACAAAAACTTGGATCTTTTTTACTAGAAGTTTTTTTAGAACAAATAACTTAATTATTAATAAAACCGAGGACCAGATACAATTTCACCATAACAAAGGCTACACTGGGGTGAGACTCAGAGCTGGATTCGCGCTTACAAGCGGACCATCTCGCTAACACCGCAATGTGGTAGGCTCCATACACAGCAATGTTGCACCTGCTACTACAAGGGAAATGAAAAAACAAAAGAGAGTTATGAACTGATGAAAAAACAGAAAAGTAACATAATCCAGTTTGATCAGCCACTGGCAAGGGAGTAGCGGTTTGACCAGCCCCCGCTAAAAGAACAACCTTCAAACCCTCGCCCTCTCCCGCTACTGGCGCTGCTGTCCGGGCAGCACTGCCACTTCCAAGTTTTTTAAAGACGCTTCATCAACATCCATGCTCGCCTATGTCCCCACCTCACTTTCAGTCTCAGTGACCCTACACTTTCTCGACGCATCACCAGATGTAGCAATCTCCTTACCCTTTGACAAGAGTCCCTCCACCAAGTAGCTCTCCTGTTCCCTTGTCTCTTTGTCAGCCTCCACTATTTTTCTTTGCCTATCGCCCTGTTTATTATTGCTAGGAATAAGCCATTTGTTTCCTGGGTGCATTCCTCCCCGCCTCATATAAGCCCTTAGCCATGACACATACAATTTCTCTCCAATTCCCAACCCATTATGTGGGTTGGAGGCACAAAAACGGTCAGCATGGCCTAGAATCCCACACAGAAAACAGAAGTTCGGGAGTCTTTCATATTTAAAATTAGCCCAAATCCAGCCGCCCCCTCCTATCTAACTTGTAGGCGTCGGGCTAAAGCCATGGTGACATTCAAAGTGACCCTTATGCGCATAACCTACCTTTGCTTTCCACCAGAAGAGCTCTCATCCAATTGCACAAATGAGCCTATGTTGTTGGCTATGCCACGCGCCGCCTTTTCCGTCATGTAACTTAGCGGTAGATCATGTACCTGAACCCAAAAGTCTGCATGGTCCAGTGCAACCTCCAGAGGTTTATCGGCACGTTCCAACCGTCTAATAACCACCAGGTTCTGCTCAAAGGACCAAGGCTCTTCATCAACAACTCTGTTCAGGTCTCCTTCATAATGAAATTGTAATAAGAATTTAGAATCCTCAATTTCATCAATTGAGACCTCTTTCACTGGTCGCCGGACCATAGCCATTGTTTGGCAAAAAGAAATAGCACAAACGGGTTTATCAGATACCACTCTGGCCACCTCCGCTAGATTGAAACCCTCTGTAGTCTGACCCCCCTTCTTAATCGGGTCAGCCGCAATCA